GCCTGCACAGATATCAGTCAAATCACTACAAGCTTTACAAATGAAATTGTATAAATGTTTCCATTTTAAATGCAGAGAGATATAACCATCAACATAACAAATCGAATAATGAAAAATGGAAAAGACATCCTGTAACCACTATATCCCTGAGGTCACATTCGATGATTTCTTCATCCTAAATGACTACCTGTTTATTTTGATGCCTTGAAACACGTTTCCTGTATTATTTGCTCTTTAATACACATGCGTCACCACTACACTTATGCATAAGTTTAGATTATTGAGGATACATCTAAGGAGTTTTTCGATAAATGCTCAGCTGATACTCAAGTTACACAGATGAAATATTCCAGCACGACACCTATGGTTTTCATAATTCCATTTTATTGTATTTAGTTATGCTGACAATCAAGTTATTCTGAATCAATTAACACATCGGTCACCTGCTGTTGAAAGTCTAACACTTTTATTTTACCAAGTTTTCATGAGGTATCCATATCTAATTAGTGAAGTTGTATGAAAGCAGTAAATTTGAATGAGACTACTGAAAATTTCTAATTTATAAATAACAATGATAATTTGTCAACAACGCGATACAGACAGTTGATATTTTTAGAAGCTCACACTCAGATTATTTCTATAAATTCGTCGATAGTAATGTCAATACAGGAATGATTTGAAACAATTTTCAAATGATACAGCCTTCATTTTCCCATAACCGTAGTAGTTTCTGATAATTGGTTGCCACATAAGACTCAATAATAATTCATTTACTCTGTTGTTTCAGCGGTGTAATCACCAGAAGTAAGTTGTTATCAATAGAAGCGTTACGATAATTTCAAGGTAGACTAGATTTTTTTATCTGAAGATTTGAACTTTCTCTGTGACTATCTCAACGGTAGAACTAGTTCAGATATTTATCACAATGTACAGTAGTTGCTCTTTTTAAGATGTTACAATCAATAAAACGTAGGAACGTCATTTCATCAAGACGAAATTCTTCGATTACACAAAACCTCCTCTCACAATTTGAAACACTGATTTTTGAACAAGCAGAATACTTTTCGATAACATCGTTCTCAGGTGACACCATTATGCCATTGTTCATTCATCACACAGGCTCATATTGTTTCAGATTTACTTTAATTGAAGTTTATTTTCTTGACTTGTAATGAGATGTGACATTTTGGTTTTGCAAGAGTCAATGTGCCATTTCAATAAGGTGTTTAGGAAGTGTCAATGCACAGTGTATGAAATATCCATGATCGTGGTCACTCACGTTTTTATTTTATTTATTTTATTTCAGTTGTCACCATTTTTCACTACAGCAGTGCCTTGAATGTCTTGCACTTCAGTCGGAAATACACGAAAATCTTGCAATGTCTAACTAACAATAAACTATCGACATTGTGGACAATGGTGCTGAATAGAGATCCAGGTGGTTAAGTAGTAGATTGGTTTGACATCGCTTGTAGGATACGGAGTAAATTGCCTCTAACAAACAAATAACAATGTGCACTGATGTCACAATTCCTCGCAATGTCGTAACTAGGAAATATTCTGTTTTTGTGAGTCTCTAACTGACATGGAAATTTCCCCTGCCTGCAATGATCATTCAAGCTTCATTTTCATACCAGGTTTAGCTGAAAAATCTTTGTTGACAGCCAATGCTCAGCGGAGGCGGATGGTTGAATGAATTTGAAATATAAGTTGGCGGGAGATAATTGGATGCCTGTCTATTCCATCAGGTTAGTAATGTTGCCATGGGTAGCCTCCTAATACCACTTTTCACAGATTTATTCTTAACAATTCTAGAAGCCATTATGAAGCAACAATATATACAACAAATGGAAATATACCTAAGATATGCCGATGACATTTTTATTGTCTGTGGAAGGAGGTCTAAAGCTAAAGACCCGTTGTTTGAATTCAACTCATGCCATCCAAATCTCAACTTCACAACAGAACACGATGAACATGATACTATTCAATTCCTAAATGTTTTTTCTGGTGAAAACGACTGATGGAACAATTAAAAAATCCATATTTAGAAGGTCTTCATGGACAGGACAGTACGCACATTACACAAGTTTTGTTCCAATCCAGTATAAAAAATTTCATTCAAAGCACTGTCCAATAAAGCATGAAATAAAGACTATGTAGGATAATCTATCTAAGAATGGATATTCTGAGAAATTCATCAATAAATACTCCAATGAAATTAGCCTCTGCGAAACCATCCAAACAGTTCCGAAGAAATCTGTATATATCGATTCGCCATTCAAACGAGATTATGTGCAAAAGGTAATTAAACGAAGGTTCGATGTAGCTATCAAGAGAAATTATTATGCTCGAAAACTTGCTTTCCTTAACACCACCATGTGGGAGTGCTTCAACAATCTGGGAAAGACCAGTCGCCAATATGCGACATTACGAACCGCGTATGTGAATTTGTGTGTGTTTCTAGAAGGAATTGCATTGTTCGTACTGAAAGGCGATTGTCTGGTAGCATGATGGAGTATTTTTCAAAGTAGGTGAGGACAGATGAAGTCAAAGTGTCAAAACGTTCAGTAAAAAAGTACCTTGAGGACTATGAACATGATATCGACGCCTTCGAGTCATCCACCGTTGTCCGCAAAGGACGAAACATGAATATGCCTGCAATTGCACAGGCTTTTGGAATGAGGGTTTTAAAAGCAGGTCCCTATGTACGATAGGAAATGATCGTCTCTCTGCATCTACAATGTTAATACGTTTCTTGATATAAGTATAAAACTTGGGCACTGTGGTAGGGTATAACTCCATCATGGATAAGATTTTATTTTGATAAATCACACAGTGTAGTACAGTTATATTAACTCATGACGTTTCGAGCACAAACTATTGCTCATAATCATATCATATCATATGATTATGAGCAATAGTTTGTGCTCGAAACGTCATGAGTTAATATAACTGTACTACACTGTGTGATTTATCAAAATAAAATCTTATCCATAATGGAGTTAATACGTTTCGCTTATTATTAACACCTTGTTATAAGTTTTGTTATTATTCCTGATTCATTTTGAAACTATCTTTTATCAGTGACATTATCGCAACTCGTTTCAAAACTAATAATATGATTATTCCTATTATGATGAATACGACTGAATTCACGACTCAATTCTTCCTCTGATGATAACTTGTGTATCTAAGTGATGTAATTGAACCGCAGTGCATTTTATCTTAGTTTTAAATTTGTATCGAGAAATAAATGTTCCCTGTACAATTTTGGATTCGCTTTATTGGCAATGAATGCAGAGAATGTCATGAAATGACACTAGTTCGAGTACAAAACAGCCAAGCAACACTCAACAGTTCAGTTAATTATTACTTTGTTTTCATAAACTCATAAACGACCAGTCCACTGGACGACTAATTATAAAAATGACATTTTGGAGAAGATTATTATTGATTGCACTTATTAAAGGAGCATAAAATTCAAAAGATAAATATGAGTGCACAAATACATGGAGCTAAATGGAAGGATGGGTGGGGTAAAAAAGTAATTATACTCTGCATGTTATGGTTTACCTTCTCAACTCCGTTACATGGAAGTTGTACACTTCATCCTACCAATGAACTGAATGACGAGTCAAAGGAATTAAATTTATATGGAGACGTGATTTGGAACAATTTTGGGTTGACAGTTCTCAGAGATTGCAATGAATACGCTTAGCTATAATCAGTGGGTGAGCTACAGCATGGTAAGTGTTTTGAAATCCAGTTGTAACTGAACAGGAACAGATTTAGTAAGAGACAGTGTGAATTGTACATTTGGTCATAATACTATCTTTATTAATAATGAAAAGTTAAAGATGTGACAATAATAAGACGGTATAGATAACAAACAAATTTTGTGGCAGAAATCTCATTTCATCCCTCTCAACCAATTTCCAGACGACAGAAAAAGGTGTCATGCAGTAAAGAATCTCTCGTGTGAATAGTAGTTCAAAGAAATCCAAGTAACTGAGCATAGTTGATGTTCTATGTCATTAAAGCTTGTTCGTTTCACTGCATCGTGCCTTTTAAAAAGGACGATGGAGGAGTCGGCGAATAAAGGATGCCAATTAATATTTCCTTCCTACATAGCATTGTTGTACTCAACCGCACTTCAAACAGTTTTCTTTATACACAAGATGCGAACTGTTATGGCGTCATTTGTGATGTGACCGTGGGGAATTACGACTCTCCGACTGAAAATATTTAGTGTCCTTCTTGTGTTTGCTTATGAATTTTGATACTTAGCAGATAACTTCAAGTAACAAGCTAATCTCTTTCTGATTGATAATTTCTCGTTGACGTTGACCGAAGCAAGTAAGTAAGATTCGTGCGAATTCGAACACAAGATTGCCTTCGTATTCAAATGATTCACCAATAGCCGTTGACAATATGAGGCCTGTTATCTGCATACGCAAAGCGATAGCTGGAAACTGAAAGCGCCCACAACAAATACTGATTGCAATATTTGTTACGTGCAGGCGGATTTCTGTGGTTTGGCCGCAAACTAAATTTGTCTGGACGACAGTTAACATCACAATCATCAAGTAACATAAGAAATACCATTTAGAATGTGCCCTTTGTCGTCTATTAAAAGTGTTTTACATATACAATCACATAACGCAGAGACTATTAGTAAACCTTGAGCACAATTCACTGAGAATATCAATACAGTGAAGCTGTTTATCGGCAGATTCAAATCAGCCATAGAATGACAAATGCAGGAAAATGAAATAATAAAGATGGATTGTGAAATATTGTTATATATTAGTTAACTTTTAAAAAAAAACACCAAAACATTGAGATTACAGAAACTAAAACAACGTGAATTAAGTGAAATTGAAAACGTTCATATCATTAGTTGTGTAATGAAAACAAAGATTAAATTTCTCGTGCGACATCATGCAAGCGACTGTCTGAATCAGTAGTCACAAAGCGTAGATAATACGAAGCAACTGCTAAATTCCTTCTACAAATAAAACAAGAGATGTACGTTGATTAGCCCACATATATTTGATATACATTGAAGAAAATACACAAGCTAGGAAGAGAACTACACAATCGAGAATAGTAAAATTTACATAAAACATAATAGAGAAAAAACGATAAAGCAATCTGATAGAAAACAATGAGCATAGACGCCGACAGCAGAATCAGAATAATTACACCAAGAAACATAAAATAAACAGCATAGAAGATTCACTCAATACCGAGAGAAAAATGGAAAAAAAATTCATGGAAAAAAAAAGAAGCACGGAAGAAAGAACTCATTTCCAAGCTAACGAAAAACTTGCCTGTTGATTCTTCTCTGTGAGGTCATAGGCATACAGCCAATATCAATCATTCACAATACTACTTTGTGTCGAAGCACAACGATTTCATTATTTGTTGTGCCTATCAAGATCTTTTGTGTACACGTATTGAATTTCATTCACGAATGGTGAATTGAAACAGCCTGTTGAGAAAGCAGTACCATCCTCAGTGTATTTGTGATGATTGCATCTATTTGTGATTGGCGTGATTGTCTAGTGACAAGGTGGACGAAAGATTGAAGACGAAAGACGACAGCAAATTTGACTATCGACTTTTCCTGTTGACTTATTTTCAATATGATGTAATTATCTATGTATATGTTGAAAAATGTGCCCAGAAGTTCATCCTTGTTATTTTCATGTTATCAACTGTGTATTTTTATTGCCTGGTGATACTTCCTTACTAATACTGTCACCAGCAATTTTTCAGCGTTCATTCGCAATGAGATTGTTAATAGGAAATTATTGAGTTGAATGTTTGGACAGCATGGATTTTGCTCTACATGTTCCACGTTTTTTTATGCTGCTGTTTACCCAATAATTTTATCATAACACTCTCATTTAAACCGTCTGAATATTTATTATATATATTACTTACTCCAAAGTTCTTTTTCTTTTTCAACTTTTAAATGAAATTTAATTCAAGTTTTAATATATTCGAAAATTCACAAATGATACACTCAGTAAGCAGCTGTCAATGTATTAACGAATAAAGATTATATATGAGGACATAGATATAGGGCGAATATCAATCCTTCACAATACTAGTTTGTGTCAGTTAACAACGTTCTCATTATTTGTTGCGCCTATCAAGATCGGTTGTGTACACGTATTGAATTTCATTCACGAATGGTGAATTGAAACAGCCTGTTGAGAAAGCAGTACCATCCTCAGAGTCTTTGTCATGATTGCATCTATTCGTGATTGGCGTGATTGTCTACTGACAAGGTGGACGAGAGACTGAAGACGAAAGAAGACAGAAACGTTTACTGTCTACTGCAGGAGGTGACGTGTGAGTTTGAGAAGGACACGTCAACCTAGTAGTGATTACAAACATGTCTGACAGTAGTCTGACTGTGCAGTGCATCACTGGTTTCTGCTCACACCATGTGGTTGGTTCATTCGAATTCTGGTCTCCACCCAACTGACTTCCACAAATCGGCTGCATTGCAATACACTCAGAGATCAGGTGTCCCGTTATGGACACAGAGAGTTACGCCTACTCGAACCATTTAGAAAGGCACAGTTTCAATTTACTCAGCATGTTCCGAATGTTATTTCACACCTCATCTGTATCCTCATATTCAAGATATCTAAAATTCCCACTCTGATGCCTATTTCTGTTGCATCTGCCTAGTTGACTTTATTTACTGTTTCCATTCATTCATGTCAGCATTCATCGATTGGTTTATGTCAGGTTGTATGGAACATCTTCTCGTCAGTGTATCTCGACTCTCCGTAATATTGTAATATGTATTTAGTCAACACATTTTGATAGAACAGCCTTTCATACTGCATTCATATGGATGAAATCACATTTTGACTTATTTTCAACATGATGAAATTATCAATGTATATGTTGAAAAATGTGGACAGAAGTTCATCGTGGGTATTTTCATGTTATCAGGTGTATATTTGTAATTGCCTGGTGATACTTGTTTTCTCATAATCTCATCAGCAGTTTATCGAATATTCTCCGCAATAACTTTGTTAAAAGTATATGATTCGGATTCATATTCACACAAAGTTAATTTAATCCCTATGGGTGTACAAGTATATATGTTACAGTGTTGATAATATAGTTGATAGAAAATTGAGCTACTTTGAGTCATCCTAATAGAGAGTGATATAACTTACTATGTTTACATTCATCAAGTCTAAATTCTATGAAATAAAGATATCAACTTATTTAAATTTACATGAATAAATTCCAGAAAATTAAAACAAATGAAGCATAACAAAGCATTTGCCAGTTTATTCTTTCTCTGTGAGGTCATAGGCATACAGCGAATATCAATCCTTCACAATACCAGTTTGTGTCAGTGCACAACGTTTCCATTATTTGTTGCGCCTATCAAGATCGGTTGTGTACTCGTATGGAATTTCATTCACGAATGGTGAATTGAAACAGCCTGTTGAGAAACCAGTACCATCCTCAGAGTCTTTGTGATGATTGCATCGATTTGTGATTGGCGTGATTGTCTACTGACAAGGTGGACGAGAGATTGAAGACAAAAGAAGACAGAAACATTTGCTGTCGACTTTTCCTGTTGACTTATTTTCAATATGATGAAATTGTCTATGTATATGTTGAAAAATGTGCCCAGAAGTTCATCCTTGTTATTTTCATGTTATCAGCTGTGTACTGGTAATTGCCTGGTGGTACATATTTACTCATAAATTCACCAGCGGTTAATCGTTTTTATCAACAATAACGTTGATTGTAATTAATAATTGGGATCCATGATCAGACAACAAGTGTCATTCCATGAATAGCCGACGGCTCTTTATGTTGATGTTCATAATTTTTCAACCTCAGTAGAGTATATATATAGAAAAACAATATTTTCATGTGTGTAACTTACTCATGGTAAGGTCTATAAATTTAATCAATATTTTATACCAGATATTTGACAGATATTTTAATGAAACAAGCGCGCATATTTATTAATACATTGGCTACATAACGAAACAACCGACTGTCCATTTTTCCCTTGTAAGATAATAGACACACAGCGAATATCACTTCTTCGAAATAATAATTTGTATCAGTGCACAACGTTCTCATTATTTGTTGCGCCTATCAAGATCGGATGTGCACACGTATTGAATTTCATTCACGAATGGTGAATTGAAACAGCCTGTTGAGAAACCAGTACCATCCTCAGAGTCTTTGTGATGATTGCATCTATTCGTGATTGGCGTGATTGTCTACTGACAAGGTGGACGAGAGATTGAAGACGAAAGAAGACAGAAACATTTGCTGTCGACTTTTACTGTTGACTTATTTTCAATATGATGAAATTGTCTATGTATATGTTGAAAAATGTGCCCAGAAGTTCATCCTTGTTATTTTCATGTTATCAGCTGTGTACTGGTAATTGCCTGGTGGTACTTATTTACTCATAGTTTCGAGAGCAGTTTATCGGATTTTATCTACAATAACGTTGATAAAACAAAGTAGTTCGGATGCATGTTCAGAAAACTTGTGTCATTCCATGAAGAGCCGAATTTCCATTATGTTAATGTTCATGATTTTCAATCTGAGCAGTGTGAATATATAGCAAAACAATAGTTTCAACTGCATAACTTACTCTTTATACTGTCTAAAAATAAATTCCAAATATTAAAAAAGATATGTGAAAAAAAATTCAATGTAAAATAGGCGTATTTAAGAAAACGTATTGACTATAAAACGAGAAAATTGACTGTTCAGTCTTCCATTGTGAAGTCATAGGCATACAGCGAATATCACTTCTTCACAATACTAGTTTGTGTCAGTTAACAACGTTCTCATTATTTGTTGTGCCTATCAAGATCGGTTGTGCACACGTATGGAATTTCATTCACGAATGGTGAATTGAAACAGCCTGTTGAGAAACCAGTACCATCCTCAGAGTCTTTGTGATGATTGCATCTATTCGTGATTGGCGTGATTGTCTACTGACAAGGTGGATGAGAGATTGAAGACGAAAGAAGACAGAAACAATTACTGTCTACTGCAGGAGGTGACGTGTGAGTTTGAGAAGGACACGTCAACCTAGTAGTGATTACAAACATGTCTGACAGTAGTCTGACTGTGCAGTGCATCACTGGTTTCTGCTCACACCATGTGGTTGGTTCATTCGAATTCTGGTCTCCACCCAACTGACTTCCACAAATCGGCTGCATTGCAATACACTCAGAGATCAGGTGTCCCGTTATGGACACAGAGAGTTACGCCTACTCGAACCATTTAGAAAGGCACAGTTTCAATTTACTCAGCATGTTCCGAATGTTATTTCACACCTCATCTGTATCCTCATATTCAAGATATCTAAAATTCCCACTCTGATGCCTATTTCTGTTGCATCTGCCTAGTTGACTTTATTTACTGTTTCCATTCATTCATGTCAGCATTCATCGATTGGTTTATGTCAGGTTGTATGGAACATCTTCTCGTCAGTGTATCTCGACTCTCCGTAACATTGTAATATATATTTAGTCAACACATTTTGACAGAACAGACTTTGATACTGCATTCATATGGATGAAATCACATTTTGACTTGTTTTCAATATGATGAAATTACCTATATATGTGGTAGAAAATGTGGACAGAAGTTCATCGTGGGTATTTTCATGTTATCAGGTGTATATTTGTACTTGCCTGTGTGATTCTTGTTTACTCATATTGTCAACTGCAATTTTTTGCATGTTATCGTAAAAGTAAATGTCAGGTATAATAATTTCGTTCTTGTTCATAACCGATGTTTAGGGCAAATTAAATCATCTTACGTCAATTCTAGGGAAAATTGTTAGGGAATATTCAAAATTTAACAAAATAAGTTAATTATTGTCAAATCACTTCAACAAATATTCTTACGAAGGTTACAGTATTCTTCTGCAGAAGTGTTGAATCCAAGGAAAATAATATCGAAATGAAATTGGAAATAATATACTTGAAATAAAAAATAATTATTAAGATAATAAAAAAATTGCTGAATCATTCGTTTTGCGAGAGGTCAAAGGTTTACAGCAAATATCACATCTTCACAATACCAGTTTGTGTCAGTGCACAACGTTTTCATTATTTGTTGTACCTATCAAGATCGGTTGTGTACACGTATGGAATTTCATTCACGAATGGTGAATTGAAACAGCCTGTTGAGAAACCAGTACCATCCTTAGAGTCTTTGTGATGATTGCATCTATTTGTGATTGGCGTGATTGTCTACTGACAAGGTGGACGAGAGATTGAAGACGAAAGACGTCAGAAGCTTCTAGCGTCAAATTTTACGCATGAGTTTTTTTCAATATGATGAAATTATCAATGTATATGTTGAAAAATGTGGACAGAAGTTCATCGTGGTTATTTTCATGTTATCAGCTGTGTATTAGTAATTGCCTGGTGATACTTATTTACTCGTATTTTCACTAGCAATTATCGTCTTTTATCTATGTAAACGTTGATGAAAATAAATAATTCGGATGCCTGTTGGGAGAGCATGTGTCATCCCATGAGGAGTGAAATGCTATTTATTGTGATGTTCATAATTTTTCAAACATATCTGTAAATATACATGAAAAATCAATGTTTCATATATGAAATTTACCTAAAATAAGATCTATAAATTTATTCGAAATAACAAAATATATATATGAAACATGTATAATTGAAATGAGTGTGCATCAAAGTAAGTATTTCGGCTGAATAACCAATCAAAAACTGTTAACAATTCCTCTGTGAGGACGTAGGCATAACGCGAATACAAAATTTAAAAAATACTAGATTGAATCAAGTAACAACGTTTTCATTATTTGTTGCGCCTATCAAGATCGGTTGTGCACACGTATTGAATTTCATTCACGAATGGTGAATTGAAACAGCCTGTTGAGAAACCAGTAATATCCTCAGAGACTTTGTGATGATTGCATCTATTTGTGATTGGCGTGGTTGTCTAGTGACAAGGTGGACGAGAGATTGAAGACGAAAGAAGACAGAAACATTTGCTGTCGACTTTTCCTGTTGACTTATTTTCAATATGATGAAATTATCTATGTATATGTTGAAAAATGTGAACAGAAATTCATCCTGGTTATGTTAAGGTTATAAGCTGTTTATTGGAAATTGCTTGGTGATACTTGTTTACTTATACTCCCCAGCATTTTATCGCTTTATATCCACAAAAACGTTTTAAGATTAATAATTTGGATCCTTGTAATCTAACCGTGATGCATATTTACGGGTGTTCACTTGATATATAATTTTGGTGTTCCACATATTAATGAAGAAAAAACATTTATTTTAACCTCAATAAAATAATTTATTAACAAAATTACTTTGTATGCAATCTTTGTTCGATGAATGAAGGAAAGAAAAATTTTGATTTAAAATAATTATATATTTTAGTGAATAAAGGAAAACTTAAAATCTTATGCAAAACAAAAAACAATTTTCCAACTCATTCCTTCTATCTGTTGACATAAACATACAGCGAATATCACTTCCTCACAATACTAGGTTGTGTCAGTGCACAACATTTTCCTTATTTGTTGCGCCTATCAAGATCGGTTGTGCACACGTATGGAATTTCATTCACGAATGGTGAATTGAAACAGCCTGTTGAGAAAGCAGTACCATCCTCAGAGTCTTTGTGATGATTGCATCTATTTGTGATAGGCGTGGTTGTCTAGTGACAAGGTGGACGAGAGATTGAAGACGAAAGACGACAACAACTTTAACTATCGACTTTTCCTGTTGACTTATTTTCAATATGATGAAATTATCTATGTATATGTTGAAAAATATGAACAGACGTTCATCGTTGTTATTTTCATGTTATCAGCTGTATATTAGTAATTGCATGGTGATACTTGTTGACTCATATTCTAAACAGCAGTTTATCGGATATTCTTCACAATAACTTGGTTTAAATTAACCAATTCGTTTACATGTTCATAGAAAATTAATTTACTCCCAAAAAGTTAACAAATATATAAGTTATTTAGATGATGATAGACTTAAAAACCATTGCGCTATTTTTGAATCCTCCTATTATTTACTGATTTATCTTACCTTTATAACATTCTACGTGTGGTAAATTTACGAGAAAAAACTTATAATTAGTTCAAATTTACATGAATAAATTGAAAAAATTAAAAAATATGTAGGATAACAAAGCACCATCCAGTTCATTTTTCTCTGTAGGGTCAAAGGTATACAGCAAATATCGCTTCTTCAAAATACCAGTTTGTGTCAGTGCACAACGTTTTCCTTATTTGTTGCGCCTATCAAGATCGGAAGTGCACACGTATTGAATTTCATTCACGAATGGTGAATTGAAACAGCCTGTTGAGAAAGCAGTACCATCCTCAGAGACTTTGTGATGATTGCATCTATTTGTGATAGGCGTGATTGTCTAGTGACAAGGTGGACGAGAGATTGAAGACGAAAGAAGTCAGAAACTTCTACCGCCAAATTTTACTCATGATTTTTTTTCAATTTGAAGAAATTATCTATGTTTACTTTAAAAAATGTGCACAGAAGTTCATCGTGGTTATTTTCATGTTATCAGGTGTATATTTGTAATTGCCTTGTGATACTGGTTTACTCATATTTTCACCTGGTGTTCATGGAATGTTATCATTGCTAACTCATTTAAAATCAATTATACGGATTCTTGTTTACACACCATATATCAATCACTATAGTTTCAACGACGAATGATCAGCCTTGGAAGAAAATATTGCGATTGCTCAATGTGAGATAAACAATTTAAAAATAAAAGATATTATAAAAATTTACTTTCACGGCATTCTATTTAAATGAAACGGAAAAAGGAAGGGAAGAAAATTGAATCATTAATTTCAAATATATACCTGGGTCGACAAAACAATTTGAAAGCAAACAAAGATATGTACAGTATATTCCTTCATATTGAGGACAAGGGTATAAAGAGAATATCAATCCTTCACAATACTAGTTTGTGTCAGTTAACAACGTTCTCATTATTTGTTGTGCCTATCAAGATCGGTTGTGCACACGTATGGAATTTCATTCACGAATGGTGAATTGAAACAGCCTGTTAAGAAAGCAGTACCATCCTCAGAGTCTTTGTGATGATTGCATCTATTCGTGATTGGCGTGATTGTCTACTGACAAGGTGGACGAGAGATTGAAGATGAAAGAAGACAGAAACGTTTACTGTCTACTGCAGGAGGTGACGTGTGAGTTTGAGAAGGACACGTCAACCTAGTAGTGATTACAAACATGTCTGACAGTAGTCTGACTGTGCAGTGCATCACTGGTTTCTGCTCACACCATGTGGTTGGTTCATTCGAATTCTGGTCTCCACCCAACTGACTTCCACAAATCGGCTGCATTGCAATACACTCAGAGATCAGGTGTCCCGTTATGGACACAGAGAGTTACGCCTACTCGAACCATTTAGAAAGGCACAGTTTCAATTTACTCAGCATGTTCCGAATGTTATTTCACACCTCATCTGTATCCTCATATTCAAGATATCTAAAATTCCCACTCTGATGCCTATTTCTGTTGCATCTGCCTAGTTGACTTTATTTACTGTTTCCATTCATTCATGTCAGCATTCATCGATTGGTTTATGTCAGGTTGTATGGAACATCTTCTCGTCAGTGTATCTCGACTCTCCGTAATATTGTAATATATATTTAGTCAACACATTTTGACAGAACAGACTTTGATACTACATTCATATGGATGAAATCACATTTTGACTTATTTTCAACATGATGAAATTATCTATGTATATGTTGAAAAATGTGGACAGAAGTTCATCGTGGGTATTTTCATGTTATCAGGTGTATATTTGTAATTTCCTGGTGACATTTGTTTACGCATACTGTCAACAGCAGTTTCTCGGATGTTAGCCACTATACCTTTGCTGAAAATATATAGCTCTTGTGGATGTTGACAAAAAATTTATCCGAAACTGCAATGTCAACAAATGTTGTTTTTCTTTCACAATATATTTACATTATATAATAATTATCATATATCATTCGAAAAAAAATGAAAAGTTTAATTACCTTTTGCAATTTCTAAGTGCGTTTGATTGACGAATGCACAAAAATTCAGTGGAAATTAAAGACGTGATACAAAAGCATGAGACAATGAAAATATATAAGGGATAACGATGACAATGTGGATTAATTCATTCTCTGCGAGGACGTAGGAAAAAAACGCGAATAAAAAATTTGAAAAACACTGGATTGAGTCAGTCAACAACGTTTCCATTATTTGTTGTGCCTATCAAGATCGGTTGTGCACACGTATGGAATTTCATTCACGAATGGTGAATTGAAACAGCCTGTTGAGAAACCAGTACCATCCTCAGAGTCTTTGTGATGATTGCATCTATTCGTGATTGGCGTGATTGTCTACTGACAAGGTGGACGAGAGATTGAAGACGAAAGAAGACAGAAACGTTTACTGTCTACTGCAGGAGGTGACGTGTGAGTTTGAGAAGGACACGTCAACCTAGTAGTGATTACAAACATGTCTGACAGTAGTCTGACTGTGCAGTGCATCACTGGATTCTGCTCACACCATGTGGTTGGTTCATTCGAATTCTGGTCTCCACCCAACTGACTTCCACAAATCGGCTGCATTGCAATACACTCAGAGATCAGGTGTCCCGTTATGGACACAGAGAGTTACGCCTACTCGAACCATTTAGAAAGGCACAGTTTCAATTTACTCAGCATGTTCCGAATGTTATTTCACACCTCATCTGTATCCTCATATTCAAGATATCTAAAATTCCCACTCTGATGCCTATTTCTGTTGCATCTGCCTAGTTGACTTTATTTACTGTTTCCATTCATTCATGTCAGCATTCATCGATTGGTTTATGTCAGGTTGTATGGAACATCTTCTCGTCAGTGTATCTCGACTCTCCGTAATATTGTAATATATATTTAGTCAACACATTTTGACAGAACAGACTTTCATACTGCATTCATATGGATGAAATCACATTTTGACTTATTTTCAACATGATGAAATTATCTATGTATATGTTGAAAAATGTGGACAGAAGTTCATCGTGGGTATTTTCATGTTATCAGGTGTATATTTGTAATCGCCTGTGTGATATTTGTTCGATCATGCTCTCACCAGCAGTTCATCAGATATCATCTAAATTATCTTTGTTTAAATGTATTATTTGGATGTGTATACAGCCCGTGTGGCAGGCACTTTAGGGTGTTCTGCTATGGTCTCTTCATTTTTGAATATCTCCCGAGGATGCTATGTAGCATATATTTAATTATAATTATTATTGAAAACATTTAATTACTTTCTCGACAGCCTGTATGTTATACATAGCAGAATGAAGGAAAAAAAAAGGCATTATATCGGAAAATATACGTGAGATGTTCATATCACATAGAGGTTAACGAAGAGATAAGCAGTTCAATCTTTCACTGTGAGGTCTTAGGAAGGAAGCGAATATCACTTCTTCACAATACTAGTTTGTGTCAGTTAAGAACGTTTTCATTATTTGTTGTGCCTATCAAGATCGGTTGTGCACACGTATGGAATTTCATTCACGAATGGTGAATTGAAACAGCCTGTTGAGAAACCAGTACCATCCTCAGAGTCTTTGTGATGATTGCATCTATTCGTGATTGGCGTGATTGACTAGTGACAAGGTGGACGAGAGATTGAAGACGAAAGAAGACAGAAACGTTTACTGTCTACTGCAGGAGGTGACGTGTGAGTTTGAGAAGGACACGTCAACCTAGTAGTGATTACAAACATGTCTGACAGTAGTCTGACTGTGCAGTGCATCACTGGTTTCTGCTCACACCATGTGGTTGGTTCATTCGAATTCTGGTCTCCACCCAACTGACTTCCACAAATCGGCTGCATTGCAATACACTCAGAGATCAGGTGTCCCGTTATGGACACAGAGAGTTACGCCTACTCGAACCATTTAGAAAGGCACAGTTTCAATTTACTCAGCATGTTCCGAATGTTATTTCACACCTCATCTGTATCCTCATATTCAAGATATCTAAAATTCCCACTCTGATGCCTATTTCTGTTGCATCTGCCTAGTTGACTTTATTTACTGTTTCCATTCATTCATGTCAGCATTCATCGATTGGTTTATGTCAGGTTGTATGGAACATCTTCTCGTCAGTGTATCTCGACTCTCCGTAATATTGTAATATATATTTAGTCAACACATTTTGACAGAACAGACTTTGATACTACATTCATATGGATGAAATCACATTTTGACTTATTTTCAACATGATGAAATTATCTATGTATATGTTGAAAAATATGGACAGAAGTTCATCGTGGGTATTTTCATGTTATCAGGTGTATATTTGTAATTTCCTGGTGACATTTGTTTACGCATACTGTCAGCAGCAGTTTCTCGGATGTTAGCCACTATACCTTTGCTGAAAATATATAGCTCGTGTGGATGTTGACAAAAAATTTAGCCGAAACTGCAATGTCAACAAATGTTGTTTTTCTTTCACAATATATTTACATTATATAATAATTATCATATATCATTCGAAAAAAAATGAAAAGTTTAATTACCTTTTGCAATTTCTAAGTGCGTTTGATTGACGAATGCACAAAAATTCAGTGGAAATTAAAGACGTGATACAAAAGCATGAGACAATGAAAATATATAAGGGATAACGATGACAATGTGGATTAATTCATTCTCTGCGAGGACGTAGGAAAAAAACGCGAATAAAAAATTTGAAAAACACTGGATTGAGTCAGTCAACAACGTTTCCATTATTTGTTGTGCCTATCAAGATCGGTTGTGTACACGTATGGAATTTCATTCACGAATGGTGAATTGAAACAGCCTGTTGAGAAACCAGTACCATCCTCATGTCTTTGTGATGATTGCATCTATTCATGATTGGCGTGATTGTCTACTGACAAGGTGGACGAGAGATTGAAGACGAAAGAAGACAGAAACAATTACTGTCTACTGCAGGAGGTGACGTGTGAGTTTGAGAAGGACACGTCAACCTAGTAGTGATTACAAACATGTCTGACAGTAGTCTGACTGTGAAGTGCATCACTGGTTTCTGCTCACACCATGTGGTTGGTTCATTCGAATTCTGGTCTCCACCCAACTGACTTCCACAAATCGGCTGCATTGCAATACACTCAGAGATCAGGTGTCCCGTTATGGACACAGAGAGTTACGCCTACTCGAACCATTTAGAAAGGCACAGTTTCAATTTACTCAGCATGTTCCGAATGTTATTTCACACCTCATCTGTATCCTCATATTCAAGATATCTAAAATTCCCACTCTGATGCCTATTTCTGTTGCATCTGCCTAGTTGACTTTATTTACTGTTTCCATTCATTCATGTCAGCATTCATCGATTGGTTTATGTCAGGTTGTATGGAACATCTTCTCGTCAGTGTATCTCGACTCTCCGTAATATTGTAATATATATTTAGTCAACACATTTTGACAGAACAGACTTTGATACTACATTCATATGGATGAAATCACATTTTGACTTATTTTCAACATGATGAAATTATCAATGTATATGTTGAAAAATGTGGACAGAAGTTCATCGTGGGTATTTTCATGTTATCAGGTGTATATTTGTAATCGCCTGTGTGATATTTGTTCGATCATGCTCTCACCAGCAGTTCATCAGATATCATCTAAATTATCTTTGTTTAAATGTATTATTTGGATGTGTATACAGCCCGTGTGGCAGGCACTTTAGGGTGTTCTGCTATGGTCTCTTCATTTTTGAATATCTCCC